TCAAATTGGGTTGCCTATTGTTTGTAAACCAAAGACTAAGGTAATATCCAGGAGCCAAGACCACGACTTATACCAGGACATTGGTCCCAAGATCCAGACCCAATGAGTTGAGACCATGACAAGTTAAAGACCGAATGTGGTCTTGAGGGGGGGGAAGCGACTCAGTCAGGCTTTCAACTTACTCCTGAAAGTTGTAGTAGTATAATGCACAAGGTGCAATTTTGAAATTGGGTAGTGCATCATCAGTTTTCCTCTGGTCATTGTAGACCTTAGAGCTATTTGTCAGAAAAGTCCAGATCAACTAGCCCATGTCAGCTAACATTTTTTAGCTAGGTTTTTTAGCCCATCGATTTGCAGGAAATAAGCTTTAAAAAGGCAAAATGTTCTCTCAGCCAACAAGAGGGGTGTGAACAGTTACATGAATGTGCTTGTGCCCATAGAAATAGATGTGGCGTAGATGTTCCCCAATGCTGGAAGGGGGGGGCCTGAGTGAAAAAGTTTGGGAACCCCTGCAGTAGAGTACAGTAGAGCATAGTACAGTATAGCTCATTATAGACGTGTGTTTGGGGTCTTGGAGGGTTGAAGCCCCCCAGATGGCTGCATCTCAATACTCTACACTTTTTCCTGAAGTGTGGACTTGTCCACTACCCACATGGTGGTCCTCTGTAGCTTAGTTGGTAACTTTTTAAAATGGAGATGGCCTCAATCAATGGCTGTGCTGTCACAGATGCCATAATGGCATAGATTCAAATATCTCCATGGTGTCAATTGTTTCTGTTGTGACTGTTTTGGTTTGACTTATTTTGGACTTCCCCATAGCTAACATTACATTTTTACATTTTAGTCATTTAGCAGACGCTCTTATCCAGAGCGACTTACAATTAGTGAGTGTATACATAATAATTTAAAAAATCATACTGGCCCCCCGTGGGAATCAAACCCACAACCCTGGCGTTGCAAGCGCCATGCTCTACCAACTGAGGAGGTTGGTGGCACCTTAATTGGGGAAGACGGGCTTGTCATAATTGCTTGAGCAGAATTAGTGGAATGGTATCAAACACATGGTTTGTTGCCATTCCATTCGCCCCATTCCAGCCATTATTATGAGCCGTCCTCCCCTCAGCAGCCGCCACTGGCTAACATATTGCTAGCTATCTTTCATTTGGACATACAGTACATTCGTAAAGTATTCAGACCCTTTTCCACATTTTGTTACGTTACAGCCTTATTCTAAAACTGATACAATTATTTTTTCCCCTCATCAATCTACACACAATACCCCATAATGACAAAGTGAAAGCAGTTTTTTTTTTACGTTTGCAAATGTATAAAAAAAAAAACATACCTTATTTACATAATTATTCAGACCCTTTGCTATGAGACTCGAAATTGAGCTCAGGTGCATCCTGTTCCTTTGATCATCCTTGATGTTTCTACAACTTGATTGGAGTCCACCTGTGGTAAATTAAATTGATTGGACATGATTTGGAAAAGCACACACCTGTCTATATAAGGTCCCACAGTTGACAGTGCATGTCAGAGCAAAAATCAAGCCATGAGGTCGAAGGAATTGTCCGTAGAGCGCCGAGACAGGATTGTGTAAAGGCACATATCTGGGGAAGGGTACCAAAAAATGTCTGCAGCATTGAAGGTCCCCAAGGACACCGTGGCCTCCATTCTTAAATGGAAGAAGTTTGGAACCACCAAGACTCTTCCTAGAGCTGGCCGCCCGGCCTAACTGAGCAATCGGGAGAGAAGGGCCTCGATCAGGGAGGTGACCAAGAACCCAATGGTCCCTCTGACAGACCTCCAGAGTTCCTCTGTGGAGATGGGAGAACCTTCCAGAAGGACAACTATCTCTGCAGCACTCCACCAATCAGGCCTTTATGGTAGAGTGGCCAGACGGAAGTCACTCCTCAGTAAAAGGCACATGACAGCCCGCTTGGAGTTTGCCAAAAGGCACCTAAAGGACTCTCAGACCATGAGAAACAAGATTCTCTGGTCTGATGAAACCAAGATTGAACTCTTTGGCCTGAATGCCAAGCGTCACATCTGGAGGAAACCTGGCACCATCCCTACGGTGAAGCATGGTGGTGGGAGCATCATGCTGTGGGGATGTTTTTCAGCGGCAGGGACAGGGAGACTAGTCAGGATCAAGGGAAAGATGAACGGAGCGAAGTACAGAAAGAACCTTGATGAAAACCTGCTCCAGAGCGCTCAGGACCTCAGACTGGGGTGAAGGTTCACCTTCCAACAGGACAACGACCCTACGCACACAGCCAAGATAACGCAGGAGTAGCTTCGGGACAAGTCTCTGAATGTCCTTGAGTGGCCCAGCCAAAGCCCGGACTTGAACCCGATCGAACATCGAAAGGAGAGACCTGAAAATAGCTGTGCAGCTGTGGATGCTCCCCATCCAACCTGACAGAGCTTGAGTGGATCTGCAGAGAAGAATAGGAGAAACTCCCCAAATACAGGTGTGGCAAGCTTGTAGCGTCATACCCAAGAAGACTTGAGGCTGTAATTGCTGCCAAAGGTGCTTCAACAAAGTACTAAGTAAAGGGTCTGAATTCTTATGTAAATGTAATATTTCCGGGGTTTTTTTTACATTCATAAACTTGTTTTTGCTTTGTCATGATGGGGTGTTGTGTGTAGATTGATGAGGAGAAAAAACCAATTGAATCCATTTTAGAATAAGGCTGTAACGTAACAAAGTGGAAAAAGTCAAGGGGTCTGAATACTTTCCGAATGCACTGTATGTACATCCCAAAACCGTACTTTACAAATGTCTTGATATATTAGATGTTCGGTACTGACACTATTTAAAAATAGATGAAGATTTACCAACTTGCTCACAAATTTTCTCCGAAATGTTTGCAGATAGACTAGATAGATGTATATAAATGTCCTAAGTTTAGAGACTTAATTTTTATTTTTTTTAATTTTTTTTTTTAAATAGTTTTTTGTGGGTGGGACTGCAATTTGCACCACTTCTGTAGAATCACCCATATATAAAGCTGCAATTCATGTGTTTTGCCACAAGGAGTTGCGGTCTCGTGTAGCTACATGGATTGGACACTGCACCCCAGGGTGTAGGTAGACACTGGGCCAGGGAAAGTAAAACAAAACAGGCCCCTTAAAGGGTTTGTGTTACGAGTGGGATTGGTTCAAGCTGATCCTAGACCAGTGTTTACAGGCAACTTCTTCCTTGATCACAGCTCAGTCAAGTCTAATCAAGGGCAGGTTGACTGACAGCATGACGTCAAGGCCTGCAGCTTTGCATTCGTCACTGTCTTTTTATCCTGCAGTAACGGTTCTTTCTTATTGTAGTCCACTCTACTGACGAGCGGTTGGGGCCGGCCAGGTTCTGGGGCTAAGGCACTGGGGCTAAACATACACTACTTTTTTTATTTTTTCTACAAACAAACTTTGTTAATTTTTTTCTTGTCTTTTTTACAAACCACCTCATCACCTTCACAGTTGAGTTCAACATGGACAAGAAGTAGTGAATATGACATACTGTCTCCCTCATGCACAGAACTCATCTTTTTATCACTACATGTAGCTAAGCTTGTATGAGATTCAAATGGGTCTATAGATTTAGATATTGCCAGTGTTCAAGACACCTTTCCAATTTTCATGATCAAGTTGTTTTTAGTGAATGGTTCAATAACATCTTATAGACACATGTGGCACTTGCTGCACACAGAGGTGTGCATATTGCTAATTTGGTCTGGCAACGGTTACAGTGATCTGCCAGACTGGAACAGTATTTATTCGTCACTAGCGCTGTCCTTAGTGAACCCCATTGACAAGGTCGTGTTCATTAGGCAGCAAACAGAAGAAAACGCACCGAAACAGGGACTACCTGTTCTTGTCCAATAAGAAACGTTCATTTTCGTTATCCATTGCAAAACATGTTGAGTTGCATGCCCTAATGAACATGACCCAGCTCTACTTAGAGCAGTGTTACCTACAGAAAGCCAGGTTAACTGACTGACTCTTAGTTCTAATGAGGCAGACATATCCTCTAGTTCCCAGGGAGGGGGATGAAGGAGTGCTAGCCATGGAGCGGTCAAGACTGACCCAAGGACCATTGATTGATGGGGTCGGGGATCTTGTAGGCAGATTCCCAGCCTCCCTTTTTAGAACTCGGGAGTCTATCGAAAATAAAGTTAAAATGGTAGAAACATACCTCTGATATATATTTTTCCCTTCAGAAGCTATGTAGGCAGCCTACATAGATGCACATCCCTACAGTAAAAGCTATGTAGGCTGGGAATCTGCCTACATAGCTTCTAAAGGGAAAAACCATATCAGAGGTATGTTTTTACCATTTTAACTTTCTTTTAGATAGACTCAGAGTTCTGAAAAGGGAAGTTAAAGGTGATTTAAATATATTATTATAAATGTATTGTATAGATTTGTGTTTTTTCCCCTCCTCTTGACTTGGGCTTTCTCCAGCAGAAATCATGTTCCCCTACTGCTGGGTCTGGACCCTGTGACATTTGTACAGTAAAATAGATACATTCCATTTGTTTACAAGTATGTACTACTTCCCACATACAGAGAGGACCTTCTTTCATGACCGCGACGTGGTCTTTTTAAATTTACATTTTTACACCGTTTGCTGAGAAATTGTCCCTGAAAACATGTACAAAATTGAATTATTTTCTGGAATGAATATTTGGCTTTCTTTAAAGTGCATTAATAAAAGTTGCCCATTTCAGTCTCATGAGTGCGCTTGTTTATTACCATTCTTGCCCTTGTGTTAGACTGCATATAAGTAAGAACCTTGCAATGGTGGTATTCAAAATGGCCATGCCAACTTTACTCTGTTAAAGAAAAAAAAAACAGCAGTTCTCATTGAAGATATATTTGCCTAAAGGCCAAGTATCGACTTAGTCTGTAATCAGGAATTGAACATTGATGAAAAGTCTGTATTGAGATTTGTTTGGGTTTCCTTTCACTGGAGCTCCTGAAGCCGGGACACCTCACTTTTTCTTCTTCCCCTTCTTTCCCTCCTTGGACTTGGGCTTCTTGCCTTTCTTAAAGGGGCCCAGACCGCGTCGCACTAACGTTCCCCTCCACCACGACTGGATCTGCAGGTGACCGACAGAGAATAAGACGGTTCAGTATCATTAAAAAACGTTTTAGTGTAATAAACAAAAGAAGAGGAGTACAGTTGTGTTCTTTTCCGGCTTGCAGAGAATAAGAGCTGAAAATCACTTGGTAGAACGTGGGGAACATAGCAACAATAACGAGTCGTTCATCTAAACAATAAACCAAGATGGAAGCCACAAAACACTGCACTGCCTCTGGATGAGATTGGTTTCCTTGCTGGACAAGTGGAGTAGATGCCGGGCTTAGAGTCTACGTCCCAGATGACACCCTATTCCCTACATAGTGCACACATTTTGACCAGAGCCCAATGGTTATTGAAGATTGTTCAATAATTACCTTGGTGGCTGCGTCTCGCTCCATGTGTTCCATCTCCAGCTGCCTGCGTCGGGCCTCTTTCTCCAACCTGTCCTCGATGACCACCTGCTCACTGTCTCTGTACTGGAACATTAGAAAGTACAAAGACCGAGTCAATATCCAGAGTACAATTTCTATTCCATACGGGTATACTTTCTTAAAGCGGCAATTTCAGTCTGTTTTAGTAAAAAGCTGAGTGATAGGGCTGGAGAAATGTAACATCTCAAATTCATACAGTGTATATATATATATATATATATATAGACAATGTATGCAAGTACTGACCATGATATCAAAATTATAGTTTTAACCATTTACATTTACAATGTTTACAAACAGAGTTAAAACAAACTTTGATGGGGTTTGACAGTTGAACTATACTCATGCACATTTATAAGTTATATTCTTAGAGAATCAATGGGGGTGTGTGTGTGTGTGTGTGTGTGTGTGTGTGTATATATATATATACACACATACACACTGCTCAAAAAAATTAAGGGAACACTTAAACAACACAATGTAACTCCAAGTCAATCACACTTCTGTGAAATCAAACTGTCCACTTAAGAAGCAACACTGATTGACAATACATTTCACATGCTGTTGTGCAAATGGAATAGAAAACAGGTGGAAATGATAGGCAATTAGCAAGACACCCCCAATAAAGAAGTGGTTCTGCAGGTGGTGACCACAGACCACTTCTCAGTTCCTATGCTTCCTGGCTGATGTTTTGGTCACTTTTGAATGCTGGCGGTGCTTTCACTCTAGTGGTAGCATGAGACGGAGTCTACAACCCACACAAGTGGCTCAGGTAGTGCAGCTCATCCAGGATGGCACATCAATGCGAGCTGTGGCAAGAAGGTTTGCTGTGTCTGTCAGCGTACTGTCCAGAGCATGGAGGCGCTACCAGGAGACAGGCCAGTACATCAGGAGACGTGGAGGAGGCCATAGGAGGGCAACAACCCAGCAGCAGGACTGCTACCTCCGCCTTTGTGCAAGGAGGAGCAGGAAGAGCACTGCCAGAGCCCTGCAAAATGACCTCCAGCAGGCCACAAATGTGCATGTGTCTGCTCAAACGGTCAGAAACAGACTCCATGAGGGTGGTATGAGGGCCCGACGTCCACAGGTGGGGGTTGTGTTTACAGCCCAACACCGTGCAGGACGTTTGGCATTTGCCAGAGAACACCAAGATTGGCAAATTCGCCACTGGCGCCCTGTGCTCTTCACAGATGAAAGCAGGTTCACATTGAGCACGTGACAGACGTGACAGAGTCTGGAGACGCCGTGGAGAACGTTCTGCTGCCTGCAACATCCTCCAGCATGACCGGTTTGGCGGTGGGTCAGTCATGGTGTGGGGTGGGGTGGCATTTCTTTGGGGGGCTGCACAGCCCTCCATGTGCTCGCCAGAGGTAGCCTGACTGCCATTAGGTATCGAGATGAGATCCTCAGACCCCTTGTGAGACCATATGCTGGTGCGGTAGGCCCTGGGTTCCTCCTAATGCAAGACAATGCTAGACCTCATGTGGCTGGAGTGTGTCAGCAGTTCCTGCAAGAGGAAGGCATTGATGCTATGGACTGGCCCACCTGTTCCCCAGACCTGAATCCAATTGAGCACATCTGGGACATCATGTCTCGCTCCATCCACCAACGCCACGTTGCACCACAGACTGTCCAGGAGTTGGCGGATGCTTTAGTCCAGGTCTGGGAGGAGATCCCTCAGGAGACCATCTGCCACCTCATCAGGAGCATGCCCAGGCGTTGTAGGGAGGTCATACAGGCACGTGGAGGCCACACACACTACTGAGCCTCATTTTGACTTGTTTTAAGGACATTACATCAAAGTTGGATCGGCCTTTAGTGTGGTTTTCCACTTTAATTTTGAGGGTGACTCCAAATCCAGACCTCCATGGGTTGATCAATTTGATTTCTATTGATAATTTTTGTCTGATTTTGTTGTCAGCACATTCAAATATGTAAACAAAAAAGTATTTAATAAGATTATTTCATTCATTCAGATCTAGGATGTGTTATTTAAGTGTTCCCTTAATTTTTTTGAGCAGTGTGTATGTATGTATATATATATATATATATATATACATACATACATACATACATACAGTTGAAGTCTGAAGTTTACATACACGTAGGTTGGAGTCATTAAAACTTGTTTTTCAACCACTCCATAAATTTCTTCTTTAACTATAGTTTTGGCAAGTCGGTTAGGACATCTGCTTTGTGCATGACACAAGATTATTTCACTTATAATTCAGTGGGTCAGAAGTTTACATACACTAAGTTGACTGTGCCTTTAAACAGCTTGGAAAATTCCAGAAAAAATATGTCATGGCTTTAGAAGCTTCTGATAGGCTAATTGACATCATTTGAGTCACTATGTTACTCAATTGGTAGAGCATGGCGTTTGTAACACCAGGGTAGTGGGTTCGATCCCCGGGACCACCCATACGTAAAAATGTATGCACACGTGACTAAGTCGCTTTGGATAAAAGCGTCTGCTAAATGGCATATTAATTGGAGGTGTACCTGTGGATGTATTTCAAGGCCTACCTTCTAACTCAGTGCCTCTTTGCTTGACATCATGGGAAAATCTAAATAAATCAGTCAAGACCTCAGAAAAATAATTGTAGACCTCCACAAGTCTGGTTCATCCTTGGGAGCAATTTCCAAACACCTGAAGGTACCACGTTCATCTGTACAAACAATGGTACGCAAGTATAAACACCATAGGACCACGCAGCCATCATACCGCTCAGGAAAGAGACGCGTTCTGTCTCCTAGAGATGAACGTACTTTGGTGCGAAAAGTGCAAATCAATCCCAGAACAACAGCAAAGGACCTTGTGAAGATGCTGGAGGAAACAAGTACAAAAGTATCTATATCCACAGTAAAACGAGTCCTATATCGACATAACCTGAAAGGCCGCTCAGCAAGGAAGAAGCCACTGCTCTAAAACCGCCATAAAAAAGCCAGACTACGGTTTGCAACTGCACATGGGGACAAAGATAGTTCGTTTTGGAGAAATGTCCTCTGGTCTGATGAAACAAAAATAGAACTGTTTGGCCATAATGACCATCGTTATGTTTGGAGGAAATAGAGGGTTGCTTGCAAGCCGAAGAACACCATCCCAACCGTGAAGCACGGGGGTGGCAGCATCACGCTGTGGGGGTGCTTTGCTGCAGGAGGGACTGGTGCATTTCACAAAATAGATGGCATCATGAGGAAGGAACATTATGTGGATATATTGAAGCAACACCTCAAGACATCAGTCAGGAAGTTAAAGCTTGGTCGCAAATGGGTCTTCCAAATAGACAATGACCCCAATCATACTTCCAAAGTTGTGGCAAAATGGCTTAAGGACAACAAAGTCAAGGTATTGGAGTGGCCATCACAAAGCCCTGACCTCAATCCTATAGAACATTTGTGGGCATAACTGAAAAAGCGCATGTGAGCAAGGAGGCCTACAGACCTGACTCAGTTACACCAGCTCTGTCAGGAGGAATGGGCCAAAATTCACCCAACTTATTGTGGGAAGCTTGTGGTAGGCTACCCGAAACGTTTGACCCAAGTTAAACAATTTAAAGGCAATGTTACCAAATACTAATTGAGTGTATGTAAACTTCTGACCCACTGGGAATGTGATGAAAGGAATAAAAGCTTAAATAAATCATTCTCTCTACTATTATTCTGACATTTCACATTCTTAAAATAAAGTGGTGATCCTAACTGACCTAAGACAGGGAATCTTGACTAGGATTAAATGTCAGGAATTGTGAAAAACTGAATTTAAATGTATTTTTGTCCATTAAAATAACATCAAATTGATCAGAAGTACAGTGTAGACATTGTTAATGTTGTAAATGCCTATTGTAGCTGGAAACGGCTGATTTTTAATGGAATATCTACACAGGCGTACAGAGGCCCATTATCAGCAACCATCAGTCCTGTGTTCCAATGGCACGTTGTGTTTGCTAATCCAAGTTGATCATTTTAAAAGGCTAATTGATCATTAGAAAACCCTTTTGCAATTATGTTAGCACAGCTGAAAACTATTGTGCTGATTTAAAGAAGCAAAACACCAGTCTCAACATCAACAGTGAAGAGGCGGGACCTTCTAGGCAAAGAAAAGCCATATCTCACTGTTGACGTTGAGACTGGTGTTTTGCGGGTACTATTTAATGAAGCTGCTAATTGAGGACCTGTGAGGCGCCTGTTTCTCAAACTAGACACTAATGTATTTGTCCTCTTGCTCAGTTGTGCACCAGGGCCTCCCACTCCTCTTTCTATTCTGGTTAGAGCCAGTTTGCGCTGTTCTGTGAAGGGAGTAGGTCAGGGCTCTGTGCAGACCTGTTAAGTTCTTCCACACCGATCTCGACAAAATATTTCTGTATGGACCTCGCTTTGAAACAGGAAAGGGCCTTCCCCAAACTGTTGCACAGAATCGTCTAGAATGTCATTGTATGCTGTAGCGTTAAGATTTCCCTTCACTGGAACTAAGGGGCCTAGCCTGAACCATGAAAAACAGCCCCAGACCATTATTCCTCCTCCATCAAATGTTACAGTTGGCACTACGCATTGGGGCAGGTAGCGTTCTACTGGAATCCGCCAAACCCAGATTCGTCCGTCGGACTGCCAGATGGTGAAGCGGGATTAATCACTCCAGCGAACGCGTTTCCACTGCTCCAGAGTCCAATGGTGGCGAGTTTTACACCACTCCAGCCGAGGCTTGGCATTGCACATGGTGATCTTAGGCTTAGGCATGGTGGCAATATTAGGAAGGTGTTCCTAATGTTTGGTATACTCAGTGTATATCACGCCTACTATGCTATTCATTACCTAATGTCAGTGCGCTGAACTGTATACTACAGGGAGCAATGGGTTGCGAACCATGCAGACCAGGGTTGTATTCATTAGGGCACACTGTAGCAAAACATTATGCAACGGAAAATGAAAACGACCGTTTCTTTTTAGAAAAGTCCCTGTTTCAGTCCGTTTTTCCCCCTGTTTGGTGCCTAATGAAATCGACCCAGGCTATCTGTCCTCACCTTCTTGGCCAACTCCTGGAGCTGGGAGAGATTGTTAGCTTTGTTGTTCCTCAGGCTGTTGAGCTCCTGCTGCTTGTCCTCCATGTCTCTCTCATAGCGCTCCATCCACACCTCCAGCTTCTCCCCCAGACTCTGAAGGGCGCACACAAACACACATTACACACATTGTTGCGGCTTCACCTGACAGCCAAATATGGCTGACGGCCGCTGTCCACTGTTATATGGTTCTGAATGTCCGATTTTGCAGTGAATTGATGGGCTGCTGTCCGTGGAGCTGAATCCCAGCTATGGCCGCTATTGCTCTAGACAAGGGCTCATCAATTTCTTGTACGGCTCCCCCAACTCTCGTTTTTTGTGATAAAAAAACAAAACAAACGTCTCTTCCTGACGTAAAGGTTGCCGACCCCTGAACAGGGGCTAGGGATTGATTTGGGATTCTACTATCTCAATAAAAAAAAAGCGTTAGATGTTTTAGGATGGCAGCTCAAAGAACGTACCAAGTCACCCTACTACACCAAATATATATGTCGCATAAAAGTTAAATTATGCTCCAATACACGAGTCATGTCATGCCATTTTCCAATCATCACTGCACACATACTGTCTGATGTTCCTTGAGGAAAGTCTCCATCTCCATATGAACTCTCCTCTCCTCCTCCAACCTCTCCTGCAGTAGCTGAGGACAGAGGAACAATGATTACACAGATACACATGTAATGGTAACCATCTCTGTACGGCCAAACCTCTCAGTTACTACAAAGTCTGTAGCCAAGTCACACCAAAGGCTCTGCCCAGAAACAACCCCCCCTAGCCACTTGTGTAGATCTGAAAGGATGGGATAGCTATAAGAAATGTGTAGGTATTTGCAAAAAAGCAATCCCTACCCAATTCTATCAGATCTACATGGGCGGACTGGGACAAGAATTCAGCCCTGGCATTTCATCCACACCAGCCCATATCACTGCGTACGCCGGCAACTCACCCCCCACACACACACCCCACACACCCCCCCCACACACACACACACCCCACACATTCACCCTACACCCTGACCCTACTTAGACACAGGGAGCAGTGCTGACACATAACATTTAAAAACATCTTTATGTGCACTAACTAATATCATAGGCTAATTAACTTGGGGTTCAACATCTGAGGAAGTGTAAACTCAATACATATTAACTAGATCGCCGTTGCCCACTGATCAGCCAAAGGCTCATTATAGATTAGTATAACATAGAAATTGAACAAAAATCTGTACAACAAATCATAACAGGCCCATGGGCCGCCGGCCATGTCTTTATATAAATAATATTTGTGTGTGTCAATTTCGACCAGCCCATCCAACATAAAAATAGTCCAGCATATCTGGCATATGCCAGAATTGCCAGATGGCCAATCCGCCCCTGCATGAGGCACTTAGGCTACGTTTACACAGGCAGCCCAATTCTGATCTTTCGCCAGTTTACACAGGCAGTCAAATTCTGATCTTTCGCCACTAATTGGTCTTTTGACCAATCAGATCAGATGTTTGCCGCTAATTGGGCAAAAGATCAGAATTGGGCTGCCTGTGTAAACACAGCCTTAGGGGCTAGGGGATGATTCACAAAAACACACACACCCTGATCTCATCCTCCAGCTGCTTCTCAGCGTGTGTGTTGGTCTTCTGTCCCTGGTATACTAGCAGCTCTGCGCTGCTCTTCACATATTTCCTCTCCAGTCCAGTCTTAGCCTTCATCTCCTGTAGCTGGTCCTTCAGGTGGGCAGTCATCTCCTCGCGTCGCTAAAGGGACGACATTAAGACAGTTTCTAAGCCTCACCCCGATTTTCAAAGACAACGACGTCTGATGTCCTCAAGGCACTTCAAGCACCACCAAGAGTCAGTCAATGTGTAGCCCATTACTAGATTGCTAATCATATTGGGCACGTGAAGGAGTGTGTCTCAGTTGTCCTCCTCAGTTATGGTACCTGCAGCTCCAGAGATTTTTCCTTGCGGATGTCAAGCAGCTGTCTCTGAAGAGCTTTGGTCCTCCGCCGGCCCTCCTCCTCCCTGCAATACACACAGACAGCAATCAGGCCCAATGTGTAAGTGTGAGTAGTCTGACCCTATCATAACCAGAAGAGAATGAGATAACGAATCAACAGGTGGTGGAACACAGGATATACAGTCTATAGAACGTCTATACTACCCTTCAACTTTTTCCACATTTTGCTGCCTTAACATGTAATCTAATTACATTTTTTACAGATCTACATAATCTACTCCACATTTCAAAGTGAAAGAAGGTTATAGAAAATTCTCCCCCCACCCCAAAACAATTAATACCATAATGTGAAAAGTCTCCACCCCCCTGAGTTAATACTTGGTGGAAGCACCTTTGGCAACCATTACAGCTGTGAATGATTTTCATTAAGATTCTACCACCTCTTAGGGCAACATACAGAGTGTACAAAACATTAGGAACACCTGCTCTTTCCATGATGTAGACTGACCAGGTGAAAGCTATGATCCCTTATTGATGTCACTTGGTAAATCCACTTCAATCAGTGTAGATGAAGGGGAGGAGACAAGTTAAGCCTTGAGACATGGATTGTGTATGCGTTCCATTCAGAGGGTGAATGGGCAGGACCAAAGATTTCAGTGCCTTTGAACGGGGTATGGTAGTAGGTGCCAGGCGCACCAGTTTCAATGTGTCAAGAACTGCAACACTGCTGGGTTTTCACGCTCAACAGTTTCCTGTGTGTATCAAGAATGGTTCACCACCCAAAAAGGACATCCAGACAACTGGACACAACTGTGGGAAGCATTGGAGTCAACATGGGCCAGCATCCCTGTGGAACGCTTTCAACACCTTGTAGAGTCCATGCCCTGACGAATTGAGGCTGTTCTGAGGGCAAAAGGGGGTACAACTCAATATTAGGAAGGTGTTATCCATTGTTTTTTTCAAAGTTGCTCAAGCTCATTACATTTGGTTGGGAATCATTGATGGACAGCAATATTCAAACCATGTCTCTGATTTTCAAGCAAATTTAACTCAGGACTGAGACTAGACCACTCAACACCTCTTGGAAAGCCTTTCTGGTGTGTCTTTGGCATTAACATTTGTGTACTTTTCTCACTGAAAAATAAAACTATCCCAGGGTTACTTTTTCCGAAGACTGAGGGGAGGAGGGGAGGGGAGGGGTTCCTCCAACTTTGTACCTGGGCTTTGCTGCTTTAATATTTATTTTGATCCTGACAAACTCCCCAGTCCCTGCTGATGACAAGCATACCCATAACATGATGCTGCCACCACAATACTTGAAAATAGAGAGGGTCTCACTGTGTTGTAATGTATTGGATTTGACCTAGCCTCGTCGAGAAAGAAGTCCATGGCACAATCAATCTTTTTTTAGAAATGTTTGAAAATTTCAAAAGAAATTAAAAAACAGAATTAACACATTTACATGAGTATTCAGACCCTTTACTCAGTACTTTGTTGAAGTACCTTTGGCAGCGATTACAGCCTCGAGTCTTCTTGGGTATGACGCTACAAGCTTGGCACACCTGTCTTTGGGGAGTTGTGTGCTTAGGGTCATTGTCCTGTTGGAAGGTGAACCTTCGCCCCAGTCTGATGTCCTGAGCGCTCTGGAGCAGGTTTTCATCAAGGATCTCTCTGTACTTTGCTCCAATCATCTTTCCCTCAATCCTGATTAGTCTCCCAGTCCCTGCCGCTGAAAAACATCCCTGCAGCATGATGCTGCTGCCACCACCATGCTTCACCGTAGGGATGGTGCCAGGTTTCTTCCAGATGTGGGGCTTGGCATTCAGGCCAAAGAGTTCAATCTTGGTTTTATCAGACCAAAGAATCTTGTTTCATGGTTCCGAGAGTCCTTTAGGTGCCTTTTGGCAAACACCAAGCGGGCTGTCATGTGCCTTTTACTGAGGAGTGGCGTCCGTCTGGCTACTCTACCATAAAAGCTTGATTAGTGGAGTGCTGCAGAGATTGTTGTCCTTCTGGAACGTTCTCCCATCTCCACAGAGGAACTCTGTCAGAGTGACCATCGGGTTCTTGGTCACCTCCCTGACCAAGGCCCCTTTCCCCCGATTGCTCAGTTTGGTCGGCCACTGTGTTCTTGGGGACCTTCAATGCAGCAGAAATGTGTTGGTACCCTTCCCCAGATCTGTGCCTCGACACAATCCTGTCTCGGAGCTCTACGGACAATTCCTTCGACCTCATGGCTTGTTTTTGCTCTGACATGCACTGTCAACTTTGGGACCTTATATAGATAGGTGTGTGTGACTCTCCAAATCATGTCCAATCAATTGAATTTACCACAGGTGGACTCCAATCAAGTTGTAGAAACATCTCAAGGATGATCAATGATAACAGGATGCACCTGAGCTCAATTTCGAGTCTCATAGCAAAGGGTCTGTAAATAAGGTACGTTTTTTTTTTTTTTTAAATTTGGGTCAAGGGATCTGAATACTTTCCGAATGCACTGCACAGTGCCTTCAGAAAGTATGCATACCCCTTGACTTATTCCACATTGTTGTGTTACAGCCTGAATTCAAAATTGATTAAATAAATAAAACATCTCACTGATCTACACACAATACCCCATAATGACAAAGTGAAAACATGTTTTTTGGCAAATGTATTGAAATTTAAATACAGACTTCTCATTTACATAAGTATTCACACAAAGTAGAAGAACAGAATCGTCTAGAATGTCAATGTATGCTGTAGAGTTAAGATTTCCCTTCACTGGAACTAAGGGGTCTAGCCCGAACCATGAAAAACAGCCCCAGACAATTATTCCTCCTCCACCAAACTGTACAGTTGGCACTATGCATTCGGGCAGGTAGCGTTCTCCTGGCATCCGCCAAACCCAGATTTGTTCGTCAGACTGCCAGATTGTGAAGCGTGATACATCACTTCAGAGAACGCGTTTCCACTGATCCAGAGTCCAATGGCAGCAATCTTTACACCACTCCAGCCGACACTTGTGTGCGGCTGCTCAGCCATGGAAACCCATTTCATTAAGCTCCCGACAAACAGTTATTGTGCTGACGTTGCTTCCAGAGGCAGTTTGGAACTAGGTAGTAAGTGTTGCAACTGAGGACAGACGAATTTTACACTCCTTCGTCCTCATGGCTTGGTTTATGCTCTGACATGCACTGTCAACTGTGGGACCTTATACAGTGAGGGAAAAAAGTATTTGATCCCCTGCTGATTTTGTACGTTTGCCCACTGACAAAGAAATGATCAGTCTATAATTTTAATGGTAGGTTTATTTGAACAAAATTATAGACTGATCATTTCTTTGTCAGTGGGCAAACGTACAAAATCAGCATGGGATCAAATACTTTTTTCCCTCACTGTATATGTATATATGTGTATATATATGTATATATATATATATATGTATATACACTGCTCAAAAAAATTAAGGGAACACTAAAATAACACATCCTAGATCTGAATGAATGAAATAATCTTATTAAATACTTAGTTGAATGTGCTGACAACAAAATCACACAAAAATTATCAGTGGAAATCAAATGTATCAACCCATGGAGGTCTGGATTTGGAGTCACCCTCAAAATTAAAGTGGAAACCCACACTACAGGCTGATCCAACTTTGATGTAATGTCCTTAAAACAAGTCAAAATGAGGCTCAGTAGTGTGTGTGGCCTCCACGTGCCTGTATGACCTCCCTACAACGCCTGGGCATGCTCCTGATGAGGTGGCGGATGGTCTCCTGAGGGATCTCCTCCCTGACCTGGACTAAAGCATCCGCCAACTCCTGGACAGTCTGTGGTGCAACGTGGCGTTGGTGGATGGAGCGAGACATGATGTCCCAGATGTGCTCAATTGGATTCAGGTCTGGGGAACGGGCGGTCCATAGCATCAATGCCTTCCTCTGCTGACACACTCCAGCCACATGAGGTCTAGCATTGTCTTGCATTAGGAGGAACCCAGGGCCAACCGCACCAGCATATGGTCTCACGAGGGGTCTGAGGATCTCATCTCGGTACCTAATGGCAGTCAGGCTACCTCTGGCGAGCACATGGAGGGCTGTGCGGCCCCCCAAAGAAATGCCACCCCACACCATGACTGACCCACCGCCAAACCGGTCATGCTGGAGGATGTTGCAGGCAGCAGAACATTATCCACGGCGTCTCCAGACTCTGTCACGTCTGTCACATGTGCTCAGTATGAACCTGCTTTCATCTGTGAAGAGCACAGGGCGCCAGTGGCGAATTTGCCAATCTTGGTGTTCTCTGGCAAATGCCAAACGTCCTGCACGGTGTTGGGCTGTAAGCACAACCCCCACCTGTGGACGTCGGGCCCTCATACCACCCTCATGGAGTCTGTTTCTGACCGTTTGAGCAGACACATGCACATTTGTGGCCTGCTGGAGGTCATTTTGCAGGGCTCTGGCAGTGCTCCTCCTGCTCCTCCTTGCACAAAAGCGGAGGTAGCAGTCCTGCTGCTGGGGTTTTGCCCTCCTACGGCCTCCTCCACGTCTCCTGATGTACTGGCCTGTCTCCTGGTAGCGCCTCCATGCTCTGGACACTACGCTGACAGACACAGCAAACCTGCTCGCATTGATGTGCCATCCTGGATGAGCTGCACTACCTGAGCCACTTGTGTGGGTTGTAGACTCCGTCTCATGCTACCACTAGAGTGAAAGCACCACCAGCATTTAAAAGTGACCAAAACATCAGCCAGGAAGCATAGGAACTGAGAAGTGGTCTGTGGTCACCACCTGCAAAACCAGTCCTTTATTGGGGGTGTCTTGCTAATTGCCTATAATTTCCACCTGTTGTCTATTCCATTTGCACAACAGCATGTGAAATGTATTGTCAATCAGTGTTGCTTCCTAAGTGGACAGTTTGATTTCACAGAAGTGTGATTGACTTGGAGTTACATTGTGTTGTTTAAGTGTTCCCTTTATTTTTTTGAGCAGTGTGTGTATATATATATGTGTATGTATGTATGTACGTACATACGTACGTACATACATTGGGGAGAACAAGTATTTGATACACTGACGATTTT